ATAGACTGACATATTCCTTTTTATAAAACGCATTCATTCCTCGTATACGTATTCATCACCTGCATACGAACGGACTATAAACCTTTCCTCCATACTCGCACTCCCTTCTCGTCTACCTACACACCGCGTGCCTGCCATTCCCAGGAGCTCCGCTTCCGCACGTTCTGGAAGGTGATGCTGGTGTACTACATCGCCTTCTTGGTTTACAGTGGCTACCTACTAGGCATCAAGTACGGCTCGGCGGACGTCCAGCAGATCCTGGCCTTTGTCATGGGGTTTGTAGAGGTGGCGTTTCGGAAGTTCAGTCAACACATGGGGCAACCCCTCACGCGCGATATGAACTTCATGCTGGCGGGTCTGGGTATCTACACGATGCACGCGACCTTCACCGTGTTCTCCACCCCCAACATAGATAATGTGGACGGCACTACGACGGACATTGCCTGGCAGACGTATCTGGTGCTGATGCTGAAGCCTCTGTCGGATTCGTTTACTGCATTCTTCCACCAGTCGGAGTTGTGGTAAGTAGGTAGTGCCTAACAATAACCCTAAACCCTGGGCCTGGGTTGTCTGCATGTGTCGTGCATTGCACATACTCGTTGTACGTGCATACCTAACACATCTATCACTACACCGTGGTACATACAAACACTTACACTCATACCTTAGTTATCTGCATGTCTGGTACAATGCACATACTCTTTTTGCACATATACCTACTACATTCATACTACGCCGTAGGTTCCGGTTCCGCAATTGGGTGAAGAAGGTTGCCTTGCCTGTGCTGGCCTGTAAGAGGATCGACTACATGGCCCTAGGCATTGAGTATGACGTCGACTTCGAAGGAAGGGGTATGTGACCAGGTGTTGTGGTGTGGGGTCTGTAGTGTATGAGCGAAAGTTCGGAACATGAGTCACCCCTGCCTTCTACAGCATATACCTAGACTACACTAATAATCGTGACCATGCATGCTACACCGATAGCCTGTCCTAATAACCCTGGTCATCCATGCTATACCTACACGCTGCCCTAGTAACCCTGGTCATTCAAGCTATACCTGCACCCTGCCCTAACAATCCTGGTCATTCATGCTATACCTACACCCTGCCCTAATAACCCTGATCATTCATGCTATAACTACACCCTGACCTAACAATCCTTGTCATTCATGTTATATCTATACCCTGCCCTAATAACCCTGGTCATTCATGTTATACCTACACCCTGCCCTAATAACCCTGGTCATCCATGCTATATCTACACCCTGCCCTAATAACCCTGGTCATCCATGTTATACCTACACCCTGCCCTAATAACCCTGGCCATCGGTCGTGCCTACTGCACCACATGCAGGGACAACCAACGCGCACCCCGACTACAGACGGGCCAAGTGCTACTTCGACATCCTGACCTTCTGGGGTGGCATGTGTGGTAACGCGTCCTTTGTCCTGGTGTCTTGGGTGCTGTATGTAGGGCCCAACGAGTACAGGTTCCCGTATTCGGACGATCCGAGCCTGTCATTGTACGGGCATAATAATAAGGTAAGTGCGTGTTGGCGGCCATGTTTCGGTCTGTCTAGACCCTAAACCCTAAACTCTAAACCCTATTTCCTCAAACCCAAACTCTACGAATCCTTACGATATTCTTACTGTGATTCCATTTGTTGAGCTTGCTAGTCTTCTGTCATACTGGCCCACTGTCCTTGAAGGGTGGCATTCGTTGCGTTACTAAAATCAAGCTGGAATAGCTGGCTTAGTTCACAGGTCTCATTAAGTCACAGCCTTGTGTATGGGGCAAAACGCGTGCACAACCACTCAGAATGGATTAAATTTTGTGTGTTTGCATATTGTATGTCGAGATTGAGAACTACTGTCACGTACCATAGTACTATAGTACTATAGTACCATAATAGTACCATATTACCATAGTACTATAGTACCATAGTACCATAGTACCACAGTACTATAGAACCATAGTACCATATTACTATAGTATCAAAATACCATAGTACCATAGTACTATAGTTATAGAGCATGTAGGCTTCATCGACTCAGGTATCTCCTTCACACAACCTTACAAGCAAACACTTCAGACACTCCACAGCAGCGTAGTCATGGCAACTCACCTGCGCCCACTCCTAACATCACCGCTCCATCACTCATTGCTTTACCCATAGCCCTACACAAGAGAGGACTTCAATGATGCTTGCATATATGCAAGTGTAGTTACTTTCGTGTTGGCGCTGGCGGCCGCTATATACGAGCGATATCTCTGGCGGTACTATCCCACGGTGAGTGTTAATGTCAGTATCAGTTTTAGTCCTCAATTTATTATTAGTCCGAGTATCAATGGTCGTGTACGACTATCGCACGGTGAGTGTCAGTCGTAGTCTTTGTCCTCCACTTGATATTAGACCTACTCCTATTGTTCGTGTAGGGGTTGGTTCAGAGTTCGTACTAAGGTGATGTGACTATCAATGTATGAGTGTGGGTCAGTGTTCGTGGTCAAGTGACTGGAAGCCCTGGACTTAGTCTATGTGTCAGTGTCAGTGTTTCTTTTATAGTTCAAATTGTTATCGTGGTAGTTTGTATTCGCGTGTCTAAGTAACCATGTTAGTGTTGATATTGGTATCAGAATTCATGTTAGTATCAGTGCCAGTGTGTGTTTCAGTACTCGTTCTATTATTTGCAAGTGTTATTATGACCCAATATTGCATTCACGCTCCGATTGCCATATATACGCGTGTTTGAGTAAAGCGTATATAGAAGCAGATGGTATTTACCCGTCCTTGGTCTCTTGTAAGTTTATTGTTAGTGATTAGTACCTTTTCAAATCGTGCTATATA